TCAGAATTATGGATCAGGACTTTAGTTAAAATGCTCGAATCAGGTTCAGACTTTAGAGTTCAGATATGACTCTAGAATTCGGTATATTCATGACTCTAGAAATTAGTATCTTCGATATGACTCTAGAGTTCCTCAGGATTCATGTCAGTATTTATCGGCTATTTTTGGCAACTCGTCAAGAGATTTGTATGCCTAAGTAATCAATCAGAATATTATCATGTGTTTAATAATGTCAAACTTTCTCAATGTTCAGATGCCGCCCCGTAGGGAACCCGATTATCCGGCTCCTACTCAGGCTACGGTAGTCGTACAGTTTCGCGACTATCACGCTGAAAAGTTCTCAGGGCAGGGAGATCCTCGCATCGTAGATGAATGGATTGAGGGCCTGGAGTTTATTTTCGAGGTCATGGACTGTCCTGATAGATATCGCGTAGTCTGCGCTCAGCTTCAGCTCACTGGTGATGCTCGGCTCTGGTGGAATGTATACTGGAGCATGCGTCCCGGTGAAAAGGCGGGATGTACGTGGGATATGCTCAAGGAGCTAGTCCGCGAGAAGTACTACCCCTCTTATTATCGGGCAGAGATGGAGCGTCAGTTCTTATCGCTCCAGCAGGGCACTCGTACTGTTGATGAGTACGAGAGAGAGTTCACTAGACTTGCAGCTTTCGTTCTGGACCTGGTTCGCACGGAGGCACAGCGAGCACAGCGGTTCATCGACGGGCTTTACCCAGCAGTCCGTCACAATATCGTAGGCCATGGAACACAGACATACGCTCGTGCAGTTTCTATTGCCCAGGAGGTGGACGCCAGCATTAGGAGGGAGGCTGTCCGTGATCGTGCCCAGCCATCTGCCCCAGTTCAGCCATTCCCAGCTCCACCAGCCCTACCAGCTGCCCAGCCGGCAAAGGAGAAGAAGAGGAAGGGGAAGGGCGCACAGACTGACCGGAGGACCCGACAGAGACAGCAGCATGTTCCACCGTGCCCGACTTGCGGACGACTTCATCGGGGAGAGTGCCACATGGGTCAAGACATTTGCTATTACTGCGACGAGCCTGGACATTTTGCGAGTCACTGTCCGAAGAGACTTCAACAGCAGCCCCAGTAGCCTCAGCAGCCGCCACAGCAGCAGCAGCCACATCAGCAGGCGCAGAGGCCACCTCAGCAGCAGCAGCAGAGGGGCAGACAGCAGGCCCGAGTCTACGCGGTTGATCAGGCCGAGGCAGCACAGCAGCCAGGTACTATGTCAGGGATGGTTGTGCTTAATGATATTCCCGTTTTCGCTTTGTTCGATACTGGAGCAACGCATTCATTCATTTCACGACGATGTCTTGATGCCATCGGAGTTTGTGCTGTTACTGCTGTCGATCCTCTCGAGGTGAGTTTAGCCTCAGGATGAAAGATAGTGACCTCAGCTAAAGCTTCAGATCTTAGCCTTTCCATCGGTGGTCGTTCATTGTCTGCCGATGCGTTTGTTCTCGAGATGAGGGATTTCGACCTTATTCTCGGAATGGATTGGCTATCCTTTTATCATGTAGATATCAGGTGTCATGACCGGGAGATCACTCTCTATCTTCCGGGAGACGAGTTGATCACTTTCTTTGGCTCCAGGAATCGTTCACTGCCTCATGTTGTTTCGATGGCGAAAGCCACTAAGTTGCTACGACAAGGCAACTGCCAGGGTTATCTAGTGAGCCTTCTCGATGATTCTCAGAAAGCACGCTCACCACACGATGTTCCAGTTGTTCGTGAGTTTGTAGACGTGTTCCCAGACGAGCTTCTAGGAGGACCGCCTAACCGGCAGGTGGAGTTCTCTATCGATCTCATTCCAGGAGCCGGTCCCGTATCCAAAGCCCCATATCGTATGGCGCCAAAGGAGTTGCAGGAGCTTAAGGCACAGATTCAGGATCTGTTACGACTCGGTTTCATCCGACCGAGCGTGTGACCTTGGGGAGCACCCGTTGTCTTTGTTAAGAAGAAGGACGGATCCATGCGCATGTGTATCGACTACCGGGATCTTAACCGGTTGACGATCAAGAACAAGTATCCGCTTCCCAGGATCGACGACTTATTTGATCAGTTGAGGGGAGCCTGTGTATTCTCAAAGATTGATTTACGATCAGGCTACCACCAGCTGAAGATTAAGGAGTTAGATATCGCTAAGACCGCTTTCAGGACTCGTTACGGCCATTACGAGTTCGTTGTCATGCCATTCGGCCTCAGTAATGCTCCAGCAGTTTTCATGGACCTCATGAACCGTATTTTCCATCCCTACCTCGATCAGTTTGTTATTGTCTTTATTGACGATATTCTTATCTACTCGAAGAGTCAGAAGGAGCACGAGGAACATCTGAGGGTGGTTCTCGAAACCCTCAGACGAGAAAAGTTGTACGCCAAATTCTCCAAATGCGAGTTCTGGCTCCAGCGAGTATCCTTTCTGGGTCATGTTATTACTCAGGCAGGTATCGAGGTGGATCCTTCTAAGGTCTCAGCTGTTCAGAACTGGTCGACACCGAGGAGTCCGTCTGAGGTTCGCAGTTTTCTCAGTCTAGCTGGCTACCATCGCAGGTTTATCGAGGGCTTTTCTAAGATTTCCCTCCCACTATCCCAGCTGACGAGGAAGTCTGTGAAGTTTGAGTGGACTGACCGATGTGAGGCGAGCTTTCAGGAGCTCAAAAGGAGGTTAACTTCAGAACCGGTGTTGACTATTCCCGATCCTTCTCGGAGTTTCACTATCTTCATTGATGCTTCGAGACAGGGCTTGGGATGCGTTCTTATGCAGGACGGCCAGGTCGTCGCGTATGCTTCACGTCAGCTTAAGCCGCACGAACAGAACTATCCGACGCACGACTTGGAGTTAGCCGCAGTCGTTCATGCTCTCAAGATCTGGCGACACTATCTTTCGGCGGTCATTGCGAGATTTTCACAGATCATAAGAGCCTGCAGTACATCTTCACGCAGAAGGAGCTTAATATGAGACAGCGCCGTTGGCTCGAGCTCGTCAAGGATTACGATTGCTCTATTCAGTATCATTTGGGGAAGGCGAACGTAGTTGCTGACGCCCTAAGCCGAAAGGTGAGGGGTGACTTGACGTACGTCATTACTCAGCAGAGTCCGTTGATTCAGGAGTTTGCCCGGATGCAGCTTCAGGCGATCGATGCACTTCCCACATCTGTTTCAGGGAGTGTCGGTGCCAGTGTCAGTGCCATGCAGCTTCAGCCGACGCTGAGAGAGAGAATCCGGTGAGAGCAGGCTTCTGACGAGTTCATTCGTGTCATGGAGGCCAAAGTTCGAGCTGGAGGCGTCGAGGGTTTTCAGCTAGGTGCCGATGGTGCTCTAGAGTTCAGAGGCAGGATAGTGGTCCCGAAGGTCGAGGCCTTGCGGAAGGAGATTTTATCAGAGGCTCATACTGCACCCTATCTAGCTCACCCCGGGAGCACGAAGATGTATCATGACCTGAAAGGGTCGTTCTGGTGGCGAGGCATGAAGAATGACGTCGCCGAGTTCGTCAGGAGATGCTTCACTTGTCAGCAAGTCAAAGCCGAACATCAGAGTCCGATCGGCCTCCTACAACCACTGCTGATCCTGAGGTGGAAGTGGGAGGAAGTCACTATGGATTTCGTTACGGGATTACCGAGGTCGTCTGAACATCACGACACTATTTGGGTCGTGGTCGACAGATTGACTAAAGTCGCTCATTTCTTACCCGTTTCGATGAAGATGTCTTTGGAAAAGTTGGCTGAGATATATACCCGTGGGATCATCCGACTCCACGGACTGCCCGTTCTGATCGTATCAGACAGAGATCACAGATTCGTTAGTCGATTCTGGCACAGCTTACACGAGGCGATGGGCACGAAGCTAGAGTTCAATTCAGCCTACCATCCGGAGACAGACGGTCAGTCAGAGCGGACTATTCAGACGCTTGAGGATATGCTTCGCGCTTTGGTTGTTGACAGGGGTGCTAAGTGGGAGTCATTGTTGCCGTATGCCGAGTTCGCGTACAACAAGAACTATCATTCTTCTATTCAGATGGCTCCTTACGAGGCACTTTACGGTCGCATGTGTCGTTCCCCTCTTTATTGGGACGACGTAGGAGAGCGACGAGTATTCGGTCCCAAGTTGATCGAGGAGACAGCAGAGCAGGTCGAGTTGATCCGGCAAAGACTCAAGACAGCTCGGAGTCGACAGAAATCTTCAGCCGATCATCATCGACGAGACATTCAGTTCGAGGTTGGTGAGCCAGCTTTTCTTAGAGTTCGTCCGATTCGCGGAGTCGTTCAATTCGAAAAGAGAGTAAAGCTGCACCCTCGATTCATCGGTCCGTTCGAGGTTCTCGAGCGAGTAGGCGAGGTCGCGTATCGATTAGCCCTACCTCCCGAGTTATCAGGCATTCATAATGTTTTCCACGCATCTATGTTACGTAAGTATGTGTGTGACCCCGATCATGTCATTCCTCATACAGATATTCAGGTTCAGCCAGACTTATCGTACGAGGAGCGATCGGTAGCTGTACTTGACCGTCAGGTCCGTCGGCTCCGGAAGCGAGATGTTCCCCTCGTGCGTATTCAGTGGGATCGCCACGGAGCTACCTGGGAGGCAGAGTCCGATATTTGCGCTCGTTTACAAGATTTTCAGTTTTGATGTACATATTTTATGTTCCATGTACATAGTTAATGTATTATCAGTTATGTTTTGAATTTCCGAGGACGAAAATTTGTAAGGAGGGAGGATTGTAATATTCCGTTATTTTATCAGTATAAATTATGTTTTAATTCCGATATATTAATATTGTCGAGTATTAATATTCGGAATTAATTATATTCAGTCGAGATTACCGAAAATTATTTTCGACGTACCGTTTACGTTCGGAATAATTTTGGTAATTAAGCATTATGTTTAATTAAATAATTAAACATAAGTTAGTGATTAATTAACATTAATCACAAGTTAATGGAGCAAAATGCCGTACGAAATTGTGCAAGTATTTCCCAATTTTGTAAGTCATTTCCTAAGTATTAAGGAAGTAATTTCCCTTTCTCTTTAAGCTAGGACATGTGTCCCTATTTGGGAGTATAAGTGGGGGATTAGTCACCATGAACCCATCTTATTAGTGAGCAAATGTCAAGCATATAAGAAGCCACGTCTAAGCCTTATCACTCCCTAAGTGTTGTTGTCCCATTCGGTTCCATATAAGAGAGTGTTTGGTCCGAATTTTTGCTCATCTCTTTTACCCTTTATGCGTCTATGTATAAGTCTTAAGTTCAGCTATAAAAGATCAGCATATTGCCTTAATTTTCCATACTCCACGCACGGCAAATATCAAAGCACCGCACGGCCATAACTTACCGCACACGGACACGCGAGAATCAACGCGGGATCACGATCGGTTTGTGAATTCCGGCGAGCACTTGAGGAGGTAAAGCCATCCTCAACTCATTTTCATGTCAATAAGTTCATTTTAGGTTGTAGTGTTCGATTCATGTTTCAAGAGTTCATAGCTATGCCATGTTAAGGTTCTGTTAAGCCTAGTTAAGTCGTGATCGAATAACTTCTTGTTTTGTCCGGCAACTCATGAACAGTTCACCTTTAATTGATCAGTTTACTTCATGTTATACTCAGTTACTTGATGATGGTCGAGGCAAAATATCGTTTTATCACTGAAATGGCTAAAATCCGTTGCCAGCGGACGTCGCGCATGGCCACGGGTTGTCCGATGTTATGCCATGTTACCTTCAGTTATGGTCAAGATTGTCAGTGCAATTTATGTCTTAATAGCTTTAAAACAATGTTCATGTTCAATTGATGTTGAGTTGCCGAGTGATAAGTTGAGTCGGTCGAGAGTCGGCCTATCGCCGTCGGCGGCGCACGGTGCGCTCGCCACGACCCTATTAAGCTCTTGTGCAAAAAGTTATGTTTTCAAGCTATTTCAATGATCATGTTCATGTTATATCAGATTAGGTTTATTGAGGTCAAATTGCACGAGAGTTATT